AAACTGTTCAAGCAGTAGAGTTACCTATATGTTGGAATGTCCATGCAAGAAATTCTATATAGGTAAGACCAAAAGAAAATTGAGGGCCCACGTTGGTGAACATCTAAGAGACATTAAAAGTGTTCATAGAAAAATGAGAAGGAAAGGGAAAACTATTAGCACAACATTTTAAAGAGGTACATAAAGGACAAGTAGAGGGCCTAAAAGTAAAAGGTATCTTTTTTTAAAGTTGTCATCTAGAAGAGGAGATTATGACAGAGTCGGATCTACCCTGTCTGATCTGGGGGTGCAGTAAACAAAAGTCAGGGGACATGTCAGTATTGTGACAGGAATGCATGGAACCAGTATTCCCTATTCACTCTGCACACTTTTGTACCATGGAGTCATAACCTGGATGTAACGCATTACAAGTAGTGTAGAGGTGGTGCAGGAGTGAACTGGGAATGCTGTCATTATTTTACCTTGATTAAATAGAACCTGTGCCCTCTTATATCAGATGTCCCTAACAGAGTCCTTCCTTATATCAGGAGTTCTTCTCAGAGTTCCTCCTTGCATCAATGTTCTTATAACAGTCCCTCCATACATCAGGTGTTCTCACCAGAATACCCCTTACATTAAATGTCCACATCGGAGTGCCCCCTTACATCAATTTCCCCATCAGAGTGCCCCTTACATTAAATGTCCACATCAGAGTGCCCCCTTACATCAAATGCTTCATCAGAGTGCCCCCTTACATCAATTTCCCCGCTCAGAGAGCCCCCTTTACATCAATTGTCCCCATCAGAGTGTCCCCTTACATAATTTGCTCCTCTCAGAGTGCCCCCTTATATCAACTGTCCCCCATGGATTTGTGAATTCACTGTCAGAGGTCTGGGGGGCACAACTAAAATTTGGGGAGGCATAAACCCACCCCAGCACCCCCCAAGATCCGAGCCTGTATTATGATAAGATTTTACTTCCAAAAGAAAAATATTGGATCTATATGCTGGGGACTTTAATACCCAGGGGGCTAAATACTGAATTAAACTTTAAAGCATTCCTCGACTAAACGTCTTTGTCCTCCTTAGGCCTTTTTCCATTCATAATAACAGGACACTTTATGATTGTTCCTCTGAGTAAAGCAAAATATTGTTAAGAGTTAAAAGCTATGGTAATAGACTCTGATCCTCACATACTGATCATCCCCAACTAGAGATTCATTGGTATCTTTTAACAGTCTAATTTAAAGGTATAGATAAGGTATTTAAAGCAGCGTACGATTGTCCCTTCCAAGTTCTGACGAAGTTCGCGATGATTGGCAGACGAAACGCATCAACGTAGTGACGTCATCACGTCCAGAAATGATGTACGCAAGTGTCCCCATGATGGACGTAGCATGACTGGATGGAGTCTAGTGTGCAATGCACATCACATCAGAGTAACCTGTATCTACTACTACTGTATCGGCAGTGACAAGAGGATGTAACAGCAGCCTTGCTTCAAAAAGTGAAGGACGAACATTAGCGGGATTAAGCATTATATCATTTTCATCGGAGGTGGCAGTAAGTGACGGATTTACCTACACTGACAAGTTTGGTTATCTCCTAATCTGCACTGATGAAGTCACGTGACTAGTGGCGTAACCCGTAGGACAAAAGCATGGTAACGTTATTCCGGTACAGACGGCAGCCACCATCTTGGTACTCCCAAACTCATACACCCTGTACTGTTTAATACAGTGAATGCCTTTTGGGTCTGCAGACCCGTTTTATACATGTGAGTAGGTTTTATTTGTATCTATTAATAAAGTATTTACTTACTACACTATGAGAGCTCTTTTTGATCCTTTCTTGTGAGGATTTTGGAGGCGGAGGAGAATTAAAGTTACACACCTTGAAGGACATCGGTATTACTGCTTGATATATATGCCATGGAGAGGAGCCCTCGTCTGTCTTACCACTGAGATCCAACCGGTCTGGGATCATCGACCTATATTTATGCTTTGTGACTCCTTGCGGGTTGCAGTTGGAAGGTGAGCGCGCACGCTGTGTGGTGAAGGATTGCCCATTTGTTGGGGTCACTGAGGTTTCATGGCTTGTGCTGAAGATACACACTTTTTTTGTGTTTTTTGGGACTATTTGTTTGATGCCACACATTTTTTTGCCATTGACATTATTTGTTTTCTATTTATTATATTTTTTCATGCATTTCATCCACTGAACACTTGATGATTTTGTGTTTTTATTGCATTCACCATTTTTTAATCACAATTTATCTTTGTTGCCACTTGTGACACTCATTGTTGCTTATACACCTGCTGGGATAGTTTTTTAGGGGTTGTTCCTTTCACACATGATTTTTATGCTGATTGTTCAACCACTGTATTATTTACTAGCGCAGCACTTTTTGCACATTATTTATATGCTTTTATGTTGTTTGTTCACTCACTTTATGATTAAGTAGCATAGCGCCATTCCTTTTATACATCCTAATCTGCTATCCACCATAATTCCTCTCGGTCTGTATCTGTACTGGACTTCCAATATATACGTCCTTTGTTGAAAGAGCTGCTATCCTCCTCTGGATTATATGGACATTAATGATTACACTGCCGCTGAAGCAGCTTTCTAATTTTGATAATCAAACGACTTTTGCAACCGTTGCAATAAGTAGTCCACGTTTCTGATTACTGTCGCTCCACACGCTCGCCATGTACAGTTGCAAGAAAAAGTATGTGAACCCCTTGGGATTACATGGAGTTTTGCATGAATTGGGCATAAAATGTGCTCTGAACGTCATCTAAGTCACAACAATAGAAGAACACAGTCTGCTGAACATAATACTACACAAACATTAGATGTTGCCCTGGTTTAATTACACATAACATGTAAACATTCACAGTGCAGGGAGGAAAAAGTATGTGAACCTTTGGACTTAATAACTGGTTGACCCTCCTTTGGCAGCAATAACCTCAACCAAACGTTTCCTGTAGTTGCAGATCAGACCTGCACAATGATCTGGAGTAATTTTGAACTACTCCTCTTCACAAAACTGTTTCAGTGTAGCAATATTCTTGGGATGTCTGGTGTGAATCACTCTCTTAAGGTCATGCCACAGCATTTCAATCGGGTTGAGGTCAGGACTCTGACTGGGCCACTCCAGAAGGCGTATTCTGTGCTGTTGCAGCCATTGTTTTGTTGAATTACTTGTATGCTTTGGGTCATTGTCCTGTGCATCACCCATCCTCTGCGGAGCTTCAGTTGGCAGACAGATGGTCGTGCGCTTTCCTGCAAAATGTCTTGATAAACTCTGGAATTCATTTTCCCATCAATGACAACAATCCGTCCAGGCCCTGAGGCAGCAAAGCAGCCCCAAACCATGATGCTCCCTCCGCCATGTTTTACAGTGGGGATGAGGTTTTGATGTTGGTGTACTGTGCCTTTTTTTCTCCACACATAGTGTTGTGTGTTCTTCCCAAACAACTCAATCTTGGTTTCATCTGTCCACAGTATATTTTGCCAGTAGTGCTGTGGAACATCCAGGTGCTCTTTTGCAAACTTCAAATGTGCTGCAATATTCTTTTTGGACAGCAATGGCTTCCTCCGTGGTGTCCTCCCATGTACTCCATTCTTGTTTAATGTTTTCCTTATTGTAGATGTGTCAACAAAAATGTTAGCATGTGCCAGAGATTTCTGTAGGTCTTTAGCTGACACTCTGGGATTCTTCTTTACCTCATGCAGCATTCTGCGCTGTGCTCTTGCAGTCATTTTTGCAGGACGACCACGCCTAGGGAGAGTAGCAACAGTGCTAAACTTTCTTCATTTGGAGACAGTCTGTCTTACCGTGGACACATGAACATCAAGACTTTTGGAGATACTTTTGTAACCCTTTCCAGCTTCATGCAAGTCAACAATTCTTGATCGTAGGTCTTCTGAGAGCTCATTTCTGCTAGGCATGGTTCACATCAGACAGTGCTTCTTGAAACCAGTAAACCCAAAACAGGTGTGTGTTTTTTAAGGGCAGGACAGCTGTCAGCAACACATCCAATATCATCACACTGATTGGAGTCAAGGTTGGCTCACTCCTGGCTCCAATTAGCTCTGGGAGAAGTCATTAAGCTAGGGCCTCACATACTTTTTCCTCCCTGCACTGTGAATGTTTACATGTTATGTGCAATTAAACCATGGCAACATCTAATGTTTGTGTAGTATTATGTTCAGCAGACTGTTCTTCTATTGTTGTGACTTAGATGACGTTCAGAGCACATTTTATGCCCAATTCATGCAAAACTCCACGTAATCCCAAGGGGTTCACATACTTTTTCTTGCAACTGTATGGTATCTAACATCAGTGATTGGAGGTGGTTACCTTGAACGGGAGATTCCTGTTGACTTTACATTGCTCATATCTATATTTCCACTGCAACGTAATTCTAGATATGCAGCATGAGCACACTTTTGATGGCTGTATATGATGTTGAGTCCTCAGGTAGAATGATAATCAATATGGAATTCACCATTTAAATGAAGTGAAGCCTTATGATCTGCCACACTTGGTGTTTCAACTAATTTATCGGAGGACTAATGGACTTATTAGATATGAACACATTTCAGCTAAGTTCTTCATTAGTTACCCTCCGTCACCTAGCCTATAATCTATATGATTCATTTGTGTGATGTCGGTTATTATAATCTCTTTACTGTATATAATATTGTGAGCTTTTTTCTAACTAGGTTTCCCACTCAGTGATGTGCATTTAATATATATGGCTTCTGGGCCATTTTCATTTACATCATTGACCATAAGCACACGTTCTAGTATGGACAGTTTCTTTTAATTCACTATTTATGACTGGTCCCTTTTTGCAAGGTAATGTTCTCACAATCAACTTTGAATAGATACACATAAATCTTTAAATAAGCTACTCTGCATGGGTATTTTTGATTACTGACTGTACACTGCTGCCAGAGTCATCCACCTTACTAATCGTTCCATATCTGCCACCCCTCTCTGCCAATCCCTCCACTGGCCTCCACTCAGTGTCCTCCTCCCCTCTCTGCCAATCCCTCCACTGGCCTCCACTCAGTGTCCTCCATCCTTCTCTGCCAATTTCTCCACTGGCCTCCACTCAGTGTCCTCCACCCCTCTCTGCCAATCCCTCCACTGGCCTCCACTCAGTGTCCTCCATCCTTCTCTGCCAATCCCTCCACTGGCCTCCACTCAGTGTCCTCCATCCCTCTCTGCCAATCCCTCCATTGGCTTCCCATTGCCCAACGAATAAAATTCAAAACATTTACAATAACATATAAAACCATTTATAACTCTGCCCCAAATTACATCACCAATTTTGTCTCCAAATATCACCCAAACTATCCTCTCCGTTCTTCGCATGACCATAAAATGTTAGCTATATTTCTCCACCCTCCAATGGAGAATTCCCCTTCCCCACCAATTTGAATTGTAATTAATACTGCAGCCAGGCTCATCCACCTTACCAACCGTTCAGTGTCTGCTACCCCTCTCTGCCAATCCCTCCACTGGCCTCCACTCAGTGTCCTCCATCCCTCTCTGCCAATCCCTCCATTGGCCTCCACTCAGTGTCCTCCATCCCTCTCTGCCAATCCCTCCATTGGCCTCCACTCAGTGTCCTCCATCCCTCTCTGCCAATCCCTCCACTGACCTTTATTCAGTGTCCTCCACCCCTCTCTGCCAATCCCTCCACTGGCTCCCCATTGCCCAACGAATAAAATTCAAAACATTAACAATAACGTATAAAGCCATTTATAACTCTGCCCCAAATTACATCACCGATCTTGTCTCCAAATATCACCCAAACCGTCCTCTCTGCTCCTCGCATGACCTCCTGCTCTCTAGCTCCCTTGTCTCCTCCTCCCATGCTCGTCTCCAGGACTTCTCCAGAGCCTCCCCCATCCTCTCTACCCCAATCTATCAGACTATTGCCTACTCTGGCCACCTTTAGGTGATCTCTGAAAACTTATCTCTTCAGGGATGCCTATCCTGCCTTCAGCTAATAACAAAAATTTTCTATTCCTCCTACCAGTCCATCCCCCACAGTTACTACCTTTTGTACCACCAGCCCCTCCCTCCTAGATTGTAAGCTCCCAGGATCAGGGCCCTCCTATCCCTCTTGTATTGAACTGTATTGTTGCTGTATTGTCTCCCTTTATATTGTAAAGCGCTGAGCAAACTGTTGGCACCATAAATCCTGTATAATAATAATAATACACAGTTTGTTCTTTACAGCTGTTTGTTTTTTGATAGGTCTCACACACACTGGATGTTAAGCTCGGATACATGAGGTCCCGGGGTTTTGGTGAGGGAGGAAGATACACTGTCCAGCCCCGCTACAGGCAGCCTGTAGAAGTCTATGAAATGCTGAGAGGCGCTTTCATATTTCTTCTCATGATGCCTCACATGAGGCTTTGGTGTTGTATGAGCCATATGTAGGCAGGTGCGGTTTGTTTTCTCCACTGCAGGTGGCGCTCAAACCGAGTGGCCCTTCAGCCTGGAGAGGAAATCCAAGAGAATCAACATTTCTCTATGGTTTCCTGGGTCAATGGAGCAGCATTCCAGTTGCATACGCTGTTCTCATGTGACCCTCGTTGGCCATCTTGGGTCAGCAGGGTCTATTTAAAAAAGAAGTATGGCTTTCCTTTTTTTTCTCAAATTGTACTTACCTAGGTGGTAAGTCCCTTGCCGGCTTTAAGCGTGAGAACTCAGCAATCACATGATCACTGATCGCTAAGTTCTCACAGCCGCTCTGAGCAGAGAGTGACTGATAGTCACCGCTGTCTGCTCTGCCCTCTCAGTGGATCGCTCAGGCTGTCAGCGGCTTGCTGGAAGGCTGAGCCAGATGCTGCTCCAGATTCTGGGGTGGATCCCGACTTTAAGGTCTGTTGGCTGAGTAACATCAGCCAACAGTTGGCTTCAGCCCACTGTCAGCTGAAAACGGGTCACAGGAATGCAGAACGAGCTGCACTCCTGTGATCCACAGGAGAAGTAGAGCTTTGGCTGTACTTCTCCTTTACGTCCCTGTTCCCTGCACTTCTGGCGTGTAGCTAGTGTAGGGGGAGAGACCCCCTGTTTGTTAGGGGAAGTAAGTAGGGAAAGGTTCCTGACGAGGAGGGAAAGATTAGGGACTTGCTATCCAGGAAAGGAAATTCCATCTTGGAACCGGACTGGGCAGGCAGAACTTCATCCTCTAAAACAGATGCTGTCGGCACCTCTCCTCCTCTACATCTGACTACACTGAACTGTGAGTTATTTTCCTTAGCAGTGCTCTCCCACCTGGGTGTCTGTAAAGTTGGCATTTTGTTTCATACAAGTTCCAAGTTTTACGGCAACTGGACTCTGTGCACCTCCCCACACGTATATGACAAGCATCTAGCTGGGATGCTCTTAATGGATCTCACAGATTTTCTCACTGAGGTTTCAGGTGGTTCAGCTTCTTTCTTTTCAGAGGATAAATCACTGATGCCAATTTCAGTGTCAGTCATTGTTTGTTCTTTTTGCTGCTATACTGGTGGGGCTTCTTGCTCAGGTCGTTCAGACTATGCTGACTGTGTCACTTCATGAGTCTTTGGACACATAGGTGTCTCGCTAATTATTGCACTTCTGTTGAGTGTTACCTTTTTTTTTTGGTGTCTCCATGCAGAATTCAGTAACCCTTTGAGACTCACTGTAGCTTCTTTACATTCTACAGTATGGTTCAGTTGAAGTTTTCTTTGTTTCTTTGACAGTTAAACTGTTTAGGGGAATGCAAGCTGTCGTAATTTCCCCTTTCTAGTATGTTGTTGGCATTTCTGCATCAAAAAAACATGTTTCTGCCACTTTCACATACACAAGTGTGGTTGATTCCTTCTGCTGGACCATTTTGTTCTGGATGGTACAGTAGTCTGGACATACTGTAGTTCCCTGCTTCCTCAGAATAGCTTGTGTTTTACTATTTGTGTACTCGGTTTCATTGTCCATGCATAGGATTTGAGTTTTTGTTTTCCAAATTGATGGTAATCTGGGCAAGCTATGTTTCAAATTTACTTGGAATGTCATCTTTTCATGTAAAAGGCCTCTTTCACATGGCACTGTCAGGTGGCAAAAACATGAAGTTTAAAGTGTTACTAAACCCAGGACCCTGCATTCACTATATCCGCTCTCCCCGAACCCCGCATTCACTATATCCGCTCTCCCCGGACCCTGCATTCACTATATCCGCTCTCCCCAGACCCCGCATTCACTATATCCGCTCTCCCTGGACCCCGCATTCACTATATCCGCTCTCCCTGGACCCCGCATTCACTATATCCGCTCTCCCCCGGACCCCGCATTCACTATATCCGCTCTCCCCGGACCCCGCATTCACTATATCCACTCTCCCCAGACCCCGCATTCACTATATCCGCTCTCCCTGGACCTTGCATTCACTATATCTGGTCTCCCCGGACCCCGCATTCACTATATATGGTCTTCCCGGACCCCGCATTCACTATATCTGGTCTCCCCAGACCCTGCATTCACTATATCCGCTCTCCCCGGACCCTGCATTCACTATATCCACTCTCCCTGGACCCCGCATTCACTATATCCGCTCTCCCCGGAACCCACATCCACTAGATCTGGTCTCCTCAGACCCCGCATTCACTATATCCGCTCTCCCCGGACCCTGAATTCACTATATCCACTCTCCCTGGACCCCGCATTCACTATATCCGCTCTCCCCGGACCCCGCATCCACTATATCTGGTCTCCCTGGACCCTGCATTCACTATATCCACTCTCTCCGGACCCTGCATTCACTATATCTGGTCTCCCTGGACCCGGCATTCACTATATCCACTCTCCCCAGACCCTGCATTCACTATATCTGGTCTCCCCGGACCCTGCATTCAGTATATCCGGTCTCCCCAGACCCCACATTCACTATATCCGCTCTCCCCAGACCCCGCATTCACTATATCCAGTCTCCCCGGACCCCGCATTCACTATATCCGCTCTCCCCGGACCCCGCATTCACTATATCCGCTCTCCCCGGACCCTGCATCCACTATATCTAGTCTCCCTGGACCCCGCATTTACTATATCCGGTCTCCCCGGACCCTGCATTCATTATATCCGCTCTCCCCAGACCCTGCATTCACTATATCCGCTCTCCCCGGACCCCACATTCACTATATCCGCTCTCCCCGGACCCTGCATTCACTATATCCGCTCTCCCCGGACCCTGCATTCACTATATCTGGTCTTCCACAGTACAGAGAACATGGAAATGAAATTATTTTAGTAAATATAAACTGCTAAATATCTTTTCTCATCAGAAGTTAGAGCAGTCTTGTGACTTATATCAATGTCCAGCACAGCACTAGCTAAAGCTTGTAGGAGGAGTTTTCTTTCTGCGCTAGGAGGATGCAAAACCCCTGACCTCTGTCTGACCAGTGCTGATTGGCCCTGTGCTGATCACATCCACTCTTCCAAAAAAAAAAAAAAATCTCTAGCAATACACACCAAACTGAGCATGTGCAAAATGCCTACGGTTCAGTCTGTCTTATCAGGGGATAAGAGGTGGTCCCTTGATAAAGGGGAGGAACAGAGAGGACAGGATCAAACAGCCTTTTAACACAGTGCAGAGGATTAACCCCTTAGGTTCCACAGTGACTATAACAAGCACGCCTTACTGCATATACAGGCTGATTGTACTGTTGTGGGTTTAGTAACACTTTAAGGTGCATTTGTAATTCTCCTCAGTTACTTGTTAAAAGCAGGCAGGGGTCACCAGACAACCCCATAAACACTGCAAAAAAAAAAAAAAAAAACAGCATGTTGCACTCAGCAGGCGATACCACCTGCTACCATTCCCTATAGAGGTGCCCAACAGACACCGTTACAGCACAGTGAAGAGGGATTTCAGTGTGAAATTTCTCTTCAACAGGCATACGGGAGATGGCAAATGACTTCCTGAACACCTGCTAACCCACAGACATGAGGCTGCTGACAATGCAATTCACTGCAGATCGCAAGTCATCAGCTAGGCCTATGTGAAAGAGGCCTTATAGCAGGAGCACAGTGAGGTTTATTCATTAAAGCTGGAGAGTGCAAAATCGGGTGCACTTCTGCATAGAAACCAATCAGCTTCCAGGTTTTTTTGCCATAGCTTAATTGAACAAGCTGAGGTTAGAAGCTGATTGGCTCTCATGCACTGCTGTACCGGATTCTGAGGGAATCAGCTTTAGTAAATCTCTATATACCTGAGGAGTCATCAGTGAGTGTAAGAAAATACCTTTTGGGTCCTTTCACACGGGCATTACATTTTTTTTCATCAGTTGAGTCACATTTAAAAAAAAAAAAAAATGGGTGAGTTTACATCCGTTTTTGGTCTGTTAATACCCCGTTCACATCAAACCCGACTTTGAAATCATGCGACTTGATTTCAAAGTCGGATGACATGCCGATTTCAGGTGCAGCTTGCAAGACATCTGAAGTCAATTCACAAAACATCCCCCCATGTTGTGCAGGGTCTGAAGGAGGACCCGATGAGGTCTGGAGTCTGATGAACACGGAGACCAGGGGAGGCAGAGACGAGGGGGTGCTGCGGCTGCACAGAAAGGCTCAGGATCTGTAGGAGTCCTGTCCTCCTCTCTGCTCTCGATTGCTGGAATGGGGGAGGGGGGGGGGTCAGAGATAAGCTTCTTCACAGCTGCATGGAGGAGCACAGGACTTAGCAGCATCCTCCTTTCTGCTGCTGAGACAAGGTGGGGCCTCAGCTGTGGAAGAGGTGCGATGGTCACATGAAATAGCCTAGCAGTCTAGATTTGGCCCATGGGGCTCCTGTTTGACACCTGTGACCTAGTGGCAGAACTAATGAAGTATTTATGAGAACAGTTGTTTCACCCATGACTGTATAAACACTATGTTAACAAAAATTTTCCTTGTTTTGCTTATATTGGCGTGCTGGTGAGGATTTGCAACCTCCAAGACCCATTGGGGTCTCATTATTTCTCATGTCTCATGTCTCATTATTTCCTGTTCTGGTGACCATGCAGAAAGGAAGACAACATCTACCCAACACGGAGAGACAACAACAAAACCCTTCTAACCCTTTGCCGCGCTATCAAAAACTACAACCTAGTACTGATTTACTAATCTGGTGAATTACAAATTCATCACTTAGTTCATGGGGCCAACGTAATTTGTGTATAAAAAACAGATTGTGTCTGTCACGTACCTTAGATAGTGAGCCTGACGTGAAGAGGCAGGCCTCCCGTACAGCTCGAGGGCCACTGGAAGTGGGACAGTAGCCACAGGAGCACGGTGAGGTATGAGTGCCTGTGATCAGTCCAGTAGTAGGTGCACGAGTGGAAGTCCACAGACAGGTGAAGAAGCAGGACAGGTTGAAGGTGGACAGCTTGGCATGGATCTTGCTGGACGGCAGGTTATAGGTAACAGCAGGAAGCAGAAGCCAGATGCGGACTTGCCGGACTGATGAACTGTAGCCAGCAGGAAGGCAGATGCGAAGTCAGACGATCAAGCATAGATGGTAGATGGCAGAGAAGTCAGGTCACAGGCCAAGTCAGCAGCAGAGGTTCAATTGGACAAGATCAGGAGGCAGAAGAATAGTCAAGACAATCCGGGGTCGGGGCAGGTAGCAGACAAGCAAAGATCAGGAACAAGCCGGGTAATATCAGAGGCCGGGCACAAGGATCAGAAACACACTCAGAAGCTGCAGACCAAACAGCAATGAGGCAAGACTGCAGCCAGTTTAAACAGCCCTTTTGGCGCCAGCATTATTGACAGGCGCACGCCTGGATGCGCAAGTGCGCATGCGCATTCGTGGGCGCTTTTGCCCAAATCCATGCATATCTGTGTGGCCCGTTATTGTTCTGCGCATTCGCATATTTGCACTAGGGACAAGCCTTTCCTGACAGCGTCAATGAAAGAATTAAAATAATAAACTAAAATGTCAAATAAAGGTTTGCCGCTAACCCAAATAGCAGGATGCTTAAAAGTAGAATGAAAAACGTAGCCAACTAACCTTTTTGATTCCCCTGTGGAAAGGAAGTCGGATTTCTTCTAGTTAATTATGAAAAAATTGCAATCACCCACGTGGCTCTTTTCTTTTTACCATTATAGCCTCAAAGAATTATAGCTCCCCGTATATTTCATCTCCAGCTTTGTTTTCCCTGTATAACCATAAATATACGACCTGCACCCCAGCTTGGTGCAATCACCGAGTTATTCCTCTATGAAGCAATTTATTAGGCGAAGGCTGGAGGCCCCGGGATTGCATCACCATACTAAATGCAATTGTTGCAGATGTTGTGGAGTCGGAAGCTCAAAGTGGCTATTTGTCTTGGTTCCCCTGGTGTCAAGGATGCGTCTCCGTCTTTTCTCTGCCCTCCTGAATTAGGAGAAAGCAATAATATCACCAGATGTTCCTGGCCGGTGTGAATAATTCATGGCGCAGTTCGTCGCTGATGTGTAATATTACTTCCCTTCTATTAAGACACACGCTGAAAGAAAGAGGGAATTTAAAAACAAGCTCTGCAAATTCTTTTTAGCTCCATAATTCCTTGTTTATGTATGTGATACTTTTACATCTCTTGAGAGTATTGTGTCGTGTGATGACACCAAAGCAAGAATAACAGCAAGAGGCAAAGTGGTACCATTATACTAAGGCAACAGAAATACTATGGTAAAGACACAAGATCAATGTCGATAAACAGCGCATAGATCTCAGCGCAGGGTTTTTGATGCCGCTAATACTTTTGCCCTGTGGTAAAATTTATCAGCATGAAAATATAGGATTTATCACAGTGAGAGCATTATTTTCACTTAAGTTGAAAGCAGCCCTTTCCATTGCTAATGATGATTATAGAATCTGCAACCGTATAAGAACCATTATACCTATAAACAGGTTATCGGTGCAAGTGAATAAAAACACTCGCTGTCAGTTGCTGCCATGATCAAGTTACCACCATGTAACGCCCTCTGGTGTAAGATAATTTCTTTTTTGTGCATAGTTAGTGGCTTGCTAGAAGCCTGGGTATGAGTCAGCCTGGGAGTGAGTCAGCAATGTTACTTCAGGTTAGGGCTGGAGGGCTCTGCAGGTCAGTTCTCTGATACCTCCCCCTGCTCTAGAAACTTGGAGAAGTTTCTAGAAGCATTGGGCGGGGGTGAGAAGGTGCTGATCTGCATAGGTGAATCTGGCCAATCCCCAGGCAGGAGGCCTGGCATGGTGGCTAGGTCAGCCTTAAAATAGGAGAATGCCTGGTCAGCAGGGGAGTCGGACGGAAGATGGAGTAAGAAAGTGCTGCTGGTGTGGAGCCTGCCCACATGAAAGAAAAATATAGAGTATGCCAGGGCAAGGGATTCTGAGACACACAAAGAATGTAGCCCCAGGGAGAACTAGTTGGGTATTGCACCTGACCTCCCTCTCCCTTCTTTGGCCCAGGGGGTGTAGACGTGCTCACGCTGTTCTGTTCCTGTAGCTTTAAAGGTTGAAGCTGCTTTCAGACCTTATACTGGGCTGGCTCCTTCCCTGTTGACAGGCTGTCTCTCCCTGGTAGACTGTGGGACAGTGTAGGTCCTTCTTTCCAGCTTTCAGACCCCCCTCATTCTCTGGGGCCCCCTCCCACCCATATGGAGGAAAAATATATCTGAAATATATTTTAAAACTATTCTTCCCAAATATATTGACATATATTTGAAATGCTACAATTTTGGCCATATTGAATATATTTAAAAATATATTTAAAAAAAAAAATATATATATATATATATATATATATACATACATATATATACATACTGCATGTTCAAATGCATTTTTATTACACAATACATGAAAAATATTTTTAAATATATATTTTTTAAAATATATTCTTCAGATTTTTTTTACATATAAAAAAGTAATTTTAACATATATTTTTACATATATTTGTAAATGCATTAAAAAAATTTAGATTTGTATTTTTAAAGACATACGGTATATTTGAAATTTATTTTTAAAAATATTTTTTCATATATTTT